GAAATATGTCAATGCAGTGGAAAAAATGGGTTCAATCCTTCAAATTATACCTACGTGCGTCGGGTATGAGTGAAGAGTCTGATGATCGAAAAGTCGCCCTATTCCTTCACACCATTGGGGAAAAAGGTGTAGACATATTCAACACGTTCGGGAAGAGCGATGAAAGCATCAAATACGACGAGCTGGTTGAAATGTTTCAACAGTACTTTGCGCCAAAAGCAAATGTTACCTATGAATGTCACAACTTCTTCACATATAAACAAAGTGAACAAGAAAGTCTAGATGATTTTGTTTGTACTCTGAAACTGAGGTCACAAAATTGCGAATTAGGTGACTTACAAGAACGTCTTGTGAAGATAATGTTCATATGCAATATGCACCAGAAATATAACTATATTAGAGAGAAACTTCTCCTAGAAGACACGCTGAACTTAGACAAGGCATTAGAGGTGGCTAAGGCCATGCTTGCTTCAAGAAACCACACTGACGAATTGGCAGCGGAACATCAGTCAGTTCTATACAGTCAATCACATCAGTCGCATCAGTCACGTCAGTCAAGAACAAAGTCACAAAATACAGCCAAGTCTCGGAATGAAAGTCAACAATCAAGAAAGGTGTGTTCCAGATGCAGCCAAGTTCATCGTCAAAAGTGTCCGGCATTGGGTGTGAAATGTAGGAAATGTGATAAAGTGGGTCATTATGCTGTTTGTTGTCGTTCAGTGAAGTCAAAGTCAGTAAAGTATGTCGAGTCAGATGATAATACAGAACAGGTACAGTCAAATGAAATGTTTATAGGTCATATTCAGTCATCCAAGTCATCATCAAGTGAATGGTCAATTAATTTAACTATAAATAATTCTCATATAAATTGTATTATTGATACAGGCAGTGATGTCAATATTATGTCCAAAGATGTCTATGATTCACTTAATATTAAGAGTGCACTGTCTGAAACTAATATCAAAATAAAGTCTTACACTGGAAATAGTCTAGAAGTCCTAGGTCAACAAAACCTAAAGTGTGAATTTAAATTTAATGATACTTATATGTCAAAAGAAATTAATTTTATAATTGCAAATGTCAACTCTCCAACTGTATTAGGTAAACTTACTTGCTCAGATATTGGATTAATTAAAAGAGTTTTTTGTGTGGATTCTACAAACATGCAAATGTCAGATTGTGATATCAGTCAATTGTCTTCTAATTTAAATCAAAATGAGTCAAATCCAAGTCAAGAATTATGTTCTAAAGTCACTAAGAGTCAGTCACAGTCACTTCCACCACAGTCAAGTCAGTCACAAAATATAAATATAAATAAACTTATTGAATGTAATAATTCTGTTTTTACCGGTCTGGGTTGTCTTCCTGGTGAGTGCCACATAACTACGAGTCCTGAAGTCCAGCCAAAAGTCGATGCTCCGAGGAAGGTACCATTCGCATTACATCAGAAGCTTCAACAAGAACTCGAGAAATTAGAAAAAATGGATGTCATTGTCAAAGTCACAGAGCCAACAGAGTGGGTGAGTTCTTTGGTTTTAATTGAAAAGAAAAATGGTCAGTTACGGGTATGTTTAGACCCCCGAAATCTAAATAAAGCCATAAAAAGGACTCACTATCCTATCCCATCTGTTGATATGGTTCGCGCCAAGGTGGCAGGAGCGAAATTCTATTCCACCCTGGATGCAAGTAGCGGATTCTGGATGTGTAAATTGTCTGACAAGAGTTCATACCTCACAACGTTCAACACACCATTTGGCCGTTATCGTTTTAAGCGTCTCCCATTCGGTGTCAACTGTGCTCCAGAATATTTTCACAGAGTCATGACGGAAATATTTGGTGACATACCTGGAGTAGCGGTGTACAGCGATGACATCCTAGTCAGTGGAAAAACTAAAATGGAACATAATGATCGTCTTAACATGGTATTTAATAGAGCAAAAGAATTCAATGTCAAGTTTAACAAAGAAAAATGTACATTTGCCAAAGAGAGTATTAAGTATCTTGGACATATATTTTCAGCAGACGGAATCACAGCTGATCCGGATAAAGTCAGAGCAATCAAAGATATGCCGTCGCCTACTTGTCTAAAAGATCTACAGAGATTTTTAGGTATGCTCAATTATTTGAGTCCCTTTATTAAAAATATGGCAGGTGAGACAGAAGTTCTTCGTCAGTTGCTGAAAAAATCTACTGATTGGCAGTGGACTGCTAATCATGAAGCTACATTTTGTCGTCTCAAACAACTAATATGTAAAGTCCCAGTGTTGTCACATTTTAATGTTCGTGATCCTATTGTCCTACAAAGTGATGCTAGTAGCAGTGCTGTTGGTGCGGTGTTGTTGCAAAATCAACATCCCGTATATTATGCTTCAAAAACATTAACTGATTCTCAGAAAAGAATGGCTCAAATAGAGAAAGAACTCTATTCTATAGTTTTTGCATGCATTAAGTTCCATCAATTTATATATGGACAAACCGTCACTGTAGAGACAGATCATGCTCCTCTAATAACATTGTTTAAAAAGCCTTTAGTCGAAGTCCCAACACGTCTTCAAAGAATGATGTTGAAAATACAACCTTATAGTCTAAATGTCGTTTACAAAAAAGGTAGTCACATGTATATTGCTGATACTTTGTCTAGAGCAGCGCTTCCTGAAACAAGTTCAGACGAATTAGATGATGATATAGTTGTTCATGTAAATCTATTGATAAAGTCATTACCAGTCTCATCAGAACGCTTAGAGTGGTTAGTCAAAGGTACTAATGAAGATGAAAGTCTGCAGATTTTGAAAAAATACTGTAAAGAAGGATGGCCGTCAAGTAAAAGTCAAGTTCACAAAGATTTGCACGAATATTGGCAGTATAGATTTGATTTACATACAGAAAATGATCTGATTTTCAGAAGTAACAGTATAGTCATACCTAAAAAATTAAGGCCAGACATTTTGAAAATAATACACAGTGGTCATTTAGGTATTGAAAGGTCAAAAGCGTTTGCTAGAGGTCATGTATTTTGGCCATTTATGTCAACTGATATAAAAAATATCGTACAGTCTTGTCATACTTGCTTGTCACACAGAAGTTCAAATGCTCCAGAACCACTTATTCCACATGACGTCACATTACTACCATGGGAAAAAGTTGGTGTCGATTTCATGGATTATAGATCTAGGAAATATATAGTGGTACAAGATTACTACTCAAATTTTATTGAACTAATGTCAGTAGCTAGTACTAACGCCAAAACAGTAATTGTTTCACTGAAAAGTATTTTTAGTAGACATGGTATCCCTATCGAATTGTTTTCAGATAATGGGCCTCCATTTAATTCAGCCGAGTTTAAGAATTTTGTTTTTGAGTGGGGAATTCACCACAATACGTCAAGTCCTTATGTGCCAAGGTCTAATGGGTTGGTAGAGTCAGGAGTAAAGATATGTAAACGTTTACTTACCAAGTCTGAAGAGTCCGGAACAGATCCATATCTTGCTCTGCTTCAATTCAGAAATACACCTAGAGGAAACTTACCATCTCCAGCACAATTGTTAATGTCACGTTCACTTAGAACACAATTACCTACAGTCACAAAGAATTTAAAACCAAAAACAGTTAAGTTTCAAGAATATGTAAAAACAAAGGAAGAAAATAAGAAGAAAATGAAAGATTACTATGACAGGAAAACTAGAACATTACCAGAACTACAAGAAGGAGATAAAGTCTATTTTAAGAAAATGCCAGATACTCCATGGATCACAGGTACAGTAAGATCTAAATGTGATCAGCCTAGATCTTATACTGTTGAAGGGCCTGATGGATTTATAGGAAGGAGAAACAGACAACATATTTTGAAGCCTCCGCAGTCACCTCAAACTGTATCTCAAGAGATGATAAAAAGAAGTCCAGATGTCGATACATCTCCAACATCACATACAGTGTCACCGTCTATTGAAGAGCATACAACTCCAGGTACAAGGCGCTCTAGGTTTGGAAGAGTTATAAGACCCCCAAGACGGTTAGATTTATAATTTAAGTTACTGTTTAATAAACATAAATTGTGTTAGTGACTGTGAAGGACTGATATAATGTTAGTAATGTCTGATGTTTAACTTTAATGTAGAGTGTCTGTTTAAGTCTATTTAAAGAGTTTAATACTTATATTTTAGTCCAACAAATTGCCTCATTTTGTATTACATAAACAAGTCTTATGTTATTTGTCAAGTCTTTAATAATAATAAATAAAAGTTGTAATAGTAGTCAAGTCTGTAAAACTGTATCAATCTGTAAAATTAAAATATTTTACTTTTTTCTAATAAGGAGGATGTTATGAGAATAGTCACATCACTAGTGTTACGCACAACACTATCTCTTAAGATGGCGTCATGCTCCATTGTCTTTGGTCTTTGGTCATCGTCTTACATTGGTTGTACTGAATGTAATGTATTTCATAATACTGAATAAACTCAAGTCGCTTCACAATATAGTCTTTCACTCATACACCAAACACGACAATATGCATGCATATCATCACGTTTATTATCCGTGCAGTAATTAATGCTACCTAATGGTATAAGGTAATAGTTTTTAATATTATGTTATACATACAGTGTGTCCGGTCACCAGCGTCCGAAACTTTTTGATGTCAACTTATTGCTTACTTTTTTAGCTGTCGAACGAACTCACTTTTACATATAGGTCCTGTACATCGGTAGATTTTGGTAAATAAATGAATCCACCCGGACTCAGAAACTATAAAAATTAAAATAGCTGTAATTTTTTAACAGTTGGGGGTAAAATGTTTTATTCCAGTGGATTTGTCGGTAAAATTGATCATATTACTGCGCCCTAAACGGGTCGGACACTGGTGACCGGACACACTGTATAATATGGTTTATTACTTTATGGACAACTCTGTGTACACGCTTATTTATAGGGTTTTTAGCTTGATTGTATTTGCCTCGGCTTCGATTTTTTAGATAAAAAAATAATACAGACTCGGTTCAGTGATACTTTATTACAAATCGACACAATAAACACATCAAATTGTCTCTCTTAAGTAGGTATGTCAATAATACTCTATTTCTTGCCACTCGGGAAGCGTAGGTCGGTCCCGCGCAGGTTGTCGTCGATCCACTGCTGCGCCTGCGCCGCCATCTGCTCGTCAAAGTACTCGCGCCAGCCGCCCGCCTTGCCTGGAAACAAGTATAAGTCATCTCAACATGATCAGTTAATGCTTATTCTTTAATAAAACTATAACAATAACAAACGTCCAAGTCAAACTCCATACAAAAGCACCGGTTATAGTTATAGTTATGGTTAAAGTTAAGTGGTACAACTCTGCCTTAAGTCTACCTTTTCTAACAAAATGTCCGTCTTCGCTCATTAAACCCATTTCCCTCATGACGTCGAAGTTGACGGATTTGTTGTTTTTGAAGTTGTGGAAGCTGAGGTGGTCGCAGAGGCGCACCACCTGCTCCTCGCTCACGGGCGCGCCGAGGAACTTCGCGACGCGCCGCACCGCGCCGGCCAGGTCCTGCAAAGTTTATTTTGTTAGGAAAAATCGTCATGAATATGCTCAAGCAAGGGATTTGTATTCTTAACTCAAGAAAGAAACCTGTGACAGAAATATGCGGCCACTAGTTTCTTATAACATTTTGATTGATGGTAGGTCTAATTTCCGGATGAGAAAAATAGACTGGTTGGAACCGGGGGTTTTAAAGTGGGGTCAGTCGACGGAAGACTCATCCACATACTTATACCTAATTTCGTTAAATAAGTACATATTGTAAAATGTATTAACTCAGTTTATCCATAGAATGTATGAAAGTAGTACCTTATACCTACTATTCTCATGACCTTATCTACCAAACTTTACCTCCAATAGTTCTTCGTAGAAAAGGAACAGCATGTTTGGATGATCTCGTTTGTCCCACGCTTCTTTTATATGTTCAAAGTATGGAGTCCAGTCAACTAAAATTATAAAATTAACATAAATATGTTCCCATTTCAGCGAATTAAGTATGATCTAATGAGACCTCTCCCAAGCATTTCCACAACGATCGGTCATATTTTAGGTTGCCTGCATCCAGTAGACCTGCCACATGAAGTAAGTACAACATAAATATGCTATAAGTAGGTAGTTACTTCTACGTAATTAAGTTTTTAAATACAGTTATTAATAATACTCATAATTAAAAACATATTATGAAAACGTACGCATATCCTTTCTAAAATAATCCCAGAAATTTTTGAAATCGCCAGTGAAGCAATAATTTTTAAAAAGTAGAGCGTGGTGGTAGTACGAGACCGCGACGTCGCGCGGGTCGCGCGCCACGTAGACCACGCGCGCGCGCAGCAAGCCGAGCGGCAGCAGCGACAGCGGCAGGTGCGACTTCACGAAGCGCGGCGACGGCAGCGCCTCCACCATTTTATAACTTGGTTTTAGCAATTCTTTAAAAAACTGTATCTTTTTTTCATCTCCTTTTAAAATTTCTAATAATACATTCCGAGTATTTTCGCCGTTGCAAAAACTTGAGTGCCTGAAATCAAACAATAGTTTCTGGTGAAGGTAAGGAGGCGGTAATTTAAGTGCTGATAGTATCATTAAATGCTATATGATTACACAAACTGTTAAATCTGTTAGGAACTCTCAGGTTTCTCCAAACAGACAGAACGCATTGCAGCATTACTTGTTAGTGGATTATTTCCATGGAGGATTGCAGAAAATTAAGAACATTTTGTAATGATCTCATAGGCCTACGACTACGAATCATATTTTGTTTCATCGGTGTTCACCGTTATTGGAACTTTCATAGTGCAGGTGCAGTGCATAGTTTAAATTTTTTAGCATCTGCATGATAAAAACATCTGATGTTCTGTTTTAATAGCTTTTTCGAGCTGTGAACATTTAAAATGATTTTCTGAAGTAGATTTACTTACAATCTTACGTTTTTATAACTTACTTACTCTAAAAATGGAGATCTTTTAATAAGAGGGATAGCTGCAGCTGTTTCGTAATCAAAATTATTTCCAATTAACCACACGAGCTCCTGGACCCAAGTGGTACCTGGAATAAAAAGTAACTTATTATGAAAATTTTCAAAAGCTTCTAAATTATACATATATTCTTCTAGTCTCACTGGATGCGTTCTGCGAGCAGCGGTCAAGTCAAAGTGAACGCAGCCTGCGTCATGATGATCATGTATGAACAACATTCTACTTTACACTTACTCTTACTTAAATAGAAACTATGAAGACATCCAGCTTATCAAGCTGTTATAAAACTTTACCGAAATAACATTGTACAAACCTGACTTCGGGAACGTCACTACGAATACATCGTCGGATCTTATGGGCATATTATAGATAGGAGCTGCATCTTTTTTCATTCCGCTGTTAAAGAAATAGCCTTTAGGGCCTACTCGCACTAAACCATCTACCATGTCTGAAATAATAACGATTAAAAGGTTGTATCTCATGAACCGATATAGGGTCGAAGACTCATAGTTCCGTCGTGTTTTAAGATATTATGGGTTTAGTATTTTACACAAAGACAGACTTGAATTTAAATGGCTTTCGTATACCTTTTACATTCAAATGTTAATTTAATGTGTTAAGTATTAAAATTAATTATTACAAAAAAGTGTGAAATGTTTCATTGTGTCCACACAGTAGGTACACGATGAAACGCCATAATTTCAACGATGAAACAACAAAACAAACCAAATAAGTACGTTAAAATTGGAAATAATAAAAACAATAATTATTTTAAGTAGGTACCTACTTAGTATAATTATTTCAGAAACTAGATAAAAGGCATAAACTTACGCACTGCTTACAAAAACATACTTTATGTATGTATTTCAAAACAACTAGGTTAAGTAATTAACAAAAACATTCTAGCTGAGTTGCACCATCTCACATTAACTTTTTACAAAAGTCAATAAATCTGTCAAATTATTGTTAAAGTTAACAGTTAAAATAAGTTGGTGAAACTTAGGCTAACGATCTTCTTTTTTTTTCAAAATACCTTACAAATTAATCAACCTTAATATGGCACTTCAAAATCTATCTTTAACCGACTTCAAAAATGGAGGAGATTATATGTTCGGCTGTATGTGTATGTTTTTTTTCTATGTATGTATTTTGGACCGATTTTCAAAATTCTTTTTTTTGTTCGATAGGGTACACTTCTGAGGTGGTCCCATTGTCACCAAGTCAGGATATGATGATGGGATCTTAGGGAAATCGAGGGCAAACCTCAAACTTTGTAGGAACGTATTACGTTTTTCATATTTATTCTAAAGATATTCAAGTACGAGTATATGCGTCTGGTAGTCATCATCTAATGTTGACAAGCTGATGATGGAAGGTAAAACTCCTTAACGCTAGGAGTTGGAGGATAAATTCTTTTAAATATTTTAGGTAGGTATGTACAGTTGTATTGTTTAAGGTATTTAAGGAGAGCTGATGATGAAACGTCAAACTTCATAAGTTAGGAGTTAGATCAGCGGTTCCCAAACTTATTTTGGCTACTGCCCACTTTGAGAATATATTCTTTTTAGCGACCCCCTTTTTGTAGTCAAGAGTCGAGTGCTCAGTCGTGTCTAAGAGTCCTCCTAGTAGATCAAATTATAAATCGCCTCCCAAGCCTCTACACAATGCCCCGATTTTTTCCGGGGTCTCTAACTGCCCCCCTTTAAGCCTGCAGCGCCCACAAGGGGGCGTTATCGCCCACTTTGGGAAAGACTGAGTTAGATGATACTTTTTAGTTGCCGATATTTAAAGTAGGTATCCTGTATTTTGTAGGGAAGATTATTTACACTTAAAATGGAAAACTATAGTCTTGATCTCATTAAACATAGGTCCATCTTCAGTGACAATGACAAAGACTAATCAACTAAAAAGCATGAAATAAATTAATTTTAACAAAAAAATTAAAACCGACTCCAAAAAACCTGCACTAAAAAGTAGGTAGTTTTAATTTTTTTGTTATTTAAGGTAATACCTTTCCTTGCGGTGAACGCTTATTAGATACAGGTAATTTACACATTGTGTCATTGTGTACCGTGTCCAATTGTTTCACTGTAACATACGCACTCACGCACGTAACAACCTTGAAAAAACCGGCCAAGTGCGAGTCGGACTCCCGCACCGAGGGTTCCGTACAAACCTATATTACTTTGATTTTGTTACTGCTTAAAGGTGTTATAGATCTGAGTATTTGATAATATAATATGGATTTCAATTTAATACCTCTACGCGTTCATGAGGAAAGGGTAAGCTTAAAATTCTTAAAAATATTTTTATTATAAAATATGATGTAACTAAAAATTAACGGTTTTTGTAATTTTTCCTTAATTTGTGCTATAAAATGTTGCTTCCTACCAAATTTTTAGATTCTGAGTTCACGGGAAGTAAGTAGCTGTAGGTTTTGATTTGATTCCCTTGCGAGTGTCGAAAAATATGCGGAAATTTGCGGAATAAACGGCTGTATCTTTTGATTGTGTTGGCCTAGAAAATTGATAATTAACACAATCAATTTACCTGAGTATTTGATATGAAGTTTAAAATTATTAAAAACTAGCTTTCCGCCCGCGGCTTCGCCCGCGTGGAATTTTGTCTGTCACAGAAAAACAATATCGCGCGCGTATTTGCTCACCGTTTAGACCTACCCTGGACTACGATTTAAACATTTTAAAACCAAAATTAGCTCAATCGGCCCAGCCGTTCTCGAGTTATAATCAGACTAACGAACATCAATTCATTTTTATACAGGGTGTTAGGTAAATGGGTATATGAGCCGACACTAGCCCATGTTAGCATGGTCATATAAATGGTATGGTGAAGTCAGAAATTTGATATCATCATTTAATTTTTTTTATTTTCATACAAAATAAATTTTATAAAATCCGATTTGTATAAAAATTAAAATAATTAAAATGAAGATATAAATTTTCTGACTTCGCCATACCATTTATATGACCATGTTAACATGGGCTAGTGTCGGCTCATATACCCATTTACCTGACATCCTGTATAGATAGATATTTTTTATATGATGAAACTAAAAATTTACGGTTCTTGCAAGGGCTATTCAAAAACTTTTATCTGAGCACAGCTCAGTTACATTTTAACTAAAGTTTTGCGGTCGTCAAGTCCTTGAATAAAATAAATTGCTAACACAAAAAATCAGGTACTTACTCGTACAATTACCGAAGTATTTGAAAGCTTCTGCTGTTTCTTCCGGTCCTAAGTCTTTGATTTCATAAGGATATTCTGGCGTTGACATTTTTGATTTAAAAAGAAATCGAGTAAATTACGCAAAATACAACTTTTCCGCGTAGCTCCGTTTACCGCACGACGTCTAGTCTCTTACTGTTTTGATTACGATCTAAGTCATCTCTCAGCATGTTAATAAATGGTCGTTTAAATTTAACTATGAACAAACTATGATTTAGCACAGTCTTTCCCAAAGTGGGCGATAACGCCCCCTTATGGGCGCTGCAGGCTTAAAGGGGGGCGGTAAGAGACCCAGAAAAAAAATCGGGACGTTGTGTAGGAGGACTCTTAGACACCGACTGAGCTCGACTCTTGACTACAAAAATGGGGGGCGCTAAAAAATAATTTATTCTCAAAGAGGGCAGTAGACTAAATAAGTTTGGGAACCACTGATTTAGCACAATGGTTATAGTCCAAACAATAGTACAGAATCAGTAATGTAGATAAAATTTGAAACTGACTGACATAATATCAGAATGTAGCCCTAAACAATGGGATTACAAGCTTGGAATTTACAGTTCCTAGGATTTTCTAAAATAAGTATTGAGAAAATACTTGTTTCCAATTATCATGATCCATAATTATATTATTATCATGCGACAGTAGGTCGATGGTGTCGAAGTCGATGTCGGACTGGTCGAATCGAAATCCGAGGAGCGCGGGTTCGAACCCCGGCGCGGTTGCGCCGCTGGACTTTGTGGTGAACCCACTCAAAGCATACGCATATATTAAGTTTGCCACGAAGGTTAATGAAACTATTCGTTCTTAAAAACTACCTAACTCTTGGCAAGAAGAAATTAAATAATTCGGTAGAACAAGGGACACAATTGAAATGTTGAATTTTTTTAGGTGCCATTTTTCTCTCTTTGGATTTGCTAATTATTATTGCTCTAAAGCAGGGGTCTCCAAAACTACGGCCCGCGGGCCATATACAGGGTGTCCCAAAAACAATGGATAACCCTGTAACCATCGATAGGCCTCGCCATGGTCTCCCTAACGTCCAATTTTGACCCCAGTAAAAATATCACCGTTTTCAAGATTTTTAAGTTTTTGTGCATTTTTAGAAAATTGCCACCTGCGATTACTTTTTCTCATGCCATTTCTACAAATGAGAATACTTTTCAATCTAGTTTTTTTCCTTATCACAAGGGATAGTTGGGCTATCAAAAGAAAAGATTAAAGTTCAACAAACTAGTTCAAAAGTATGAAAATTTTAAGAAATTGCAGAGAAGAAGGAAAAATTAATTCATTGTCTTGCACTTTTGATCAGCCATCGTGTAAAAAAAATGTAGGAAGACCATCGTGCCCATTACCTTAAAAACTTCCTTGGTTAATTGAGATTCTGAAAAGGTATCACGAGCTTATGTATTCTGTATTATTCTTATCTTATGGCTACTTGAATAGCAACTAGTATGTAAACTGCAAAAATGAGTTTTTCTCGTAATAGTTTTAAACTAGTATTGCATAGTGGCATTAAATACAAATGGATAATTTTTAGCGTAGGAATTTTAATAAAGCAACATTTTATCATCATCATCATCATCATTTCAGCCATAGGACGTCCACTGCTGAACATAGGCCTGTACCCCAATGATTTTCATAACGACCGCTTGGTAGCGGCCTGCATCCAGCACCTTCCTGCTTACCTTTATAAGGTCGTCGGTCCACTTTGTAGGTGGACGTCCTACGATGCGCTTTCCGGTACGTAGCCTCCACTTGAACCCTTTTGCCCCATTGGCCGTCCGTTCTGCGTTTTTGTGATTACTTAATTTTTGTTTTACACCTTATAAATGTGCCAATAGACAGATACCCGTGATGATACACGGCTCGGAAACGTGGATTTTTTGCACAGCGTTCTATGGAAGGGGCTATGCTCGGGTTTCTTTACGAAACCGTATCAGAAATTAGGAGACCTGTAAACGAACTAAAGTCGCTGACATAGCCCGACGGATCAGCAAGCTGAAGTGGCAAAGGGCAAGGCACAGTAGTTCGCAGAACTGAGGCAGCAGGGTTCAAGTGGAGGCTACGTACCGGAAAGCGCATCGTAGGACGTCCACCTACAAAGTGGACCGACGACCTCATTAAGATAAGCAGGAAGGTGCTGTATGTAGGCCGCTACCAAGCGGTCATTATGAAAATCATTAGGGTACAGGCCTATGTTCAGCAGTGGACGTCCTACGGCTGAAATGATGATGATGATGATGATGATAAAATGTTGCTTTATTTAAATTCCTACGCTAAAAATTATCCATTTGTATTTAATGCCACTATGCAGTCCTAGTTTAACTATTACGAGAAAAACTCATTTTTGCAGTTTTTATACTAGTTGCTATTCAAGTAGCCATAAGATAAAAATAATACAGAATACATAGGCTTGTGATACCTTTTCAGAATCTCAATTAACCAAGGAAGTTTTTAAGGTAATGGGCACGATGGTCTTCCTACATTTTTTTTACACGATGGCTAATCAAAAGTGCAAGACAATGAATTAATTTTTCCTTCTCTTCTGCAATTTCATTTGTAGAAATGGCATGAGAAAAAGTAATCGCAGGTGGCAATTTTCTAAAAATGCACAAAAACTTAAAAATCTTGAAAACGGTGATATTTTTACTGGGGTCAAAAATGGACGTTAGGGAGACCATGGCGAGGCCTATCGATGGTTACAGGGTTATCCATTGTTTTTGGGACACCCTGTATGTATATCCGGCCCGCCAATGGTATCAATCCGGCCCGCGACAGCTTAAGACAAAGCCTATGTTTGCAAAGGTGGGCCGAAAAATGAAAAATGTTATGGCCCTTGCAACATATCGAAAAAATTATTATGGCCCCAAGGCCTCAAAGTTTGGAGACCCCTTCTCTAAAGTAAGAGTTCTAATTTACATGAAATAAAAATAATTTAGCGCGATGTTCTTAACAAGAATGAAATTAATTAACTAGTTTTTAGGGTTCCGTAGCCAAAATGGCAAAAACGGAACCCTTATAGTTTCGTCATGTCCGTCTGTCCGTCTGTCCGTCTGTCCGTCTGTCCGTCTGTCCGTCTGTCCGTCTGTCACAGCCGATTTACTCGGAAACTATAAGTACTACAGTGATGAAATTTGATGGGAATATGTGTTGTATGAACCGCTACAAAATTATGACACTAAATAGTAAAAAAAAGAATTGGGGGTGGGGCCCCCCATACATGTAACTGAGGGATGAAAATTTTTTTTCGATGTACATACCCGTGTGGGGTATCAATGGAAAGGTCTTTTAAAATGATATAAAGTTTTCTAAAAAACATTTTTCTTAAAGTGAACGGTTTTTGAGATATCAGCTCTCAAAGTCGTAAAAAGTATGGATAAAAATTGTTCAACAAAAACGCTTGGGTTGGGTTGGTCTCATTCTGAAGATTTATTACACTTTACTACAAAAATTGATCCTAACTTTACCAATGTTACCAAGCGCATAATTTTATCTGTTATCTCACAAATCTATGATCCGTTGGGTTTATTATCGCCAGTAATTATAATAGCAAAAATATTATTGCAAAGGCTATGGCTTTGCAAGCTGGGCTGGGACGACTCCGTGCCTAATGATATTTGTAATGAGTGGCATAATTTTATTAACACATTTCAGTGCTTACAAAACATACGCATACCACGTCACGTGAGGGAACCCCATTCTAAATACACGGATTTGCACATATTTACAGACGCATCACAGGACGCGTATGGGGCCTGCGCGTACGTGAGTACTTACAGCGATGATTCACCAGTGCTAGTCAGGTTACTTTGTGCGAAAAGCAAAGTCGCTCCTATTAAGCCAGTCACTATGCCACGGCTTGAACTTTGCGGTGCCTTAGTCGGGGCTAAATTATTTAAGAAAATTAGTGAGTCATGGAGAATAAGTTTTAATAATGTTTATTTTTGGTCAGATTCAATGATTGTCGTCAGCTGGGTCAAAATGTCTCCAAATCTATTGAAACCTTTTGTTCAAAACCGAGTGGTACAAATAAATGATTTGACCGGTGAGTTGCCGTGGCGACATGTCGCGGGCAAAGATAACCCGGCCGATCTGTTGTCACGTGGACTACCACTCGATGCATTACAACAATCGGATATTTGGTGGCACGGGCCAGAGTTTTTGCGTGAAATTAAAAATGAATCTAGTCAAAATGATGTTCAAGTTCTTGATATGTGTGAAATACCGGAGTTAAAATCAAATAATTGCACAATATCATGTTTAGCTAAATTAAATAATGCATTTTTTTTTTATTTTAAAGTCCAAAATGACAATGTTCCGAAGATTTCCGAAATGCGACACTTGGTGATAACATAGCTTATATGTTGCATTACATAATACAAAAGTCAATTTCTTAAGAAAACTTAAGAATAACGAATAAAATAAAAATAAATGTTGAGCTCCATACAAAAAAAAAGGAAATTGTCAATAACTTATTAAATAATAACTTTATCAAGAAACGTTACATAACATAAAATATTCCTTTTTGGTAAAGGTACACATTGGCATATTTATTTTTTCAAAATTCGGCACTTGATTTTTGAGCGACGCTAAGTCTATGAAGCTCTAATATCAGCCCACCGTGCGCCGCCGGCCCGCGATCACCACCTCCACGGCGCGCCCGCTCTCCGCGCCGATCTCCACGTGGTAGGGCGTGCTGGGCTCCACGAACGAATTTAGTTTGTCACAGATCGTCATTAATATGTGTTATTCTGGGTTATAAACAATAATACTGTAAAGTTTAATCAAAATCCGTTCAGAAGTTTTTGCGTGAAAGAGTAACAAACATCCAGACATCCAGACATCCAAAATTTCGCATTTATAATATTAGTAGGATAGTAGGATTACTTCCGTATAATATTAAGTACAGGATGTTATTAAATGGGTATATGAGCCGACACTAGCCCATGTTGACATGGGCATATAAATGGTAGGTGAAGTCAGAAAATTGATATCATCATTTTATTTTTTTAAATTTTCATACAAAATAAATTTTATAAAATCCGATTTGTATGAAAATTAAAATGTCGGCTCATATACCCGTTACCACCTACTATTGTATAGAGCTCTGATTCCGCGAAACAAAAATTACAACTGCATAATTTAAATGAGTATTATAATAATTTTCAGTTAAAGGTGATTATTTCAAAATTAATAATTCAAAATCGTTTATTTGTTGTAGGATGCTAAATCACTATCAGTTATAGTCGGGAAGCGCAGGTCGGTCCCGCGCAGGTTGTCGGCGATCCACCGCTGCGCCTGCGCGGTCATCTGCTCGTCGAAGTGCTCGCGCCAGTCGCCAGATTTGCCTAGTTCATAAAGGAAGGGTAAGTTTGATACTGATCCTTTAACATAATAAATTATCATAATAAGAAAATCGTTAGTTATAACCACATTATAACAGTCAATCCACTAACCTTTTCTAATAAATGTTCTATCTTTTTTAGTTATCCATCCTAGGTCCCTTCCCCCGACTTCGAAGTTAAGCATTGGGTTTTTCTTGAAGTTATCGAATTTGAGGCGGTCACATAGACGAGAGACTTGCTCGTCAGTCATAGTCTTGCCAAGGAATTCCGCAACTTGTCGAACTGCCTTCGGCAAGTCCTTGAAACATATAAAGTACCTACTGTAATATGTATAAAACATGAGGTTGAAGAAGTAATAGTAGACCATAGAGTAACTTAGTTCTTAAGAAAAATAAATAACGTTCATTTTATGTTATTCCTTCAACAGGTATTACCTTCAACATATCCTCATAAAAGAGAAACAGTAAGTTAGGGTGATTCCTTTGCTCCCAAGCTTCTATCACATGCGGGAAGTACGGAGTAAAATCGACTGTAAAAATAATAATTAAGTAAGTGCTTAGCTTTCACTAGACTTTTTCAGCGTCGTTTTTTGTCGCAGTTGGGTTTTAGTTTTTGGAACTTTAAATGCGATAGGTTTATATTTTTTACTAGCGGCCGCCTGCGACTTCGTACGCGTGAATCCGGTTTTACCCCCTTCATCTATCTTACGCGTTTTAGATTTTTTCATACAAATGTTTTTTCCCGCTAACTCCCGTTCCTGTGGGAATTTGCAATATCCTGTTGTAACTAAGCTTTAAGTTTAATAAAATACCTGCATGCCAAATTTCAAGCGTCTAATTTAAGCGGTTTAGATTTTTCATACTAAAGGATTTTCCCGCTAACTCCTGTCCCCGTGGGAATTTTGCAATATCCTGTTGTAACTAAGCTTTAAGTTTACTAAGCAGAACAATAATATACAGAGAAACACAGACAAGACTTTATAACCACAGAACCGATTGGGTGCTATTTGCCGATTATTTGGAGGCGGAAACAGAATTGAAAATAAAATTAAAAACTGAAGCTGACATAGATGATGCAACATTCTATATAACCAACCTAATACAGGAAGTTGCATGGCGATGTACACCACAATTGAAAACCATAAGTAAAACTACTAACATACCTCTGCAAATACGAGAAAAACTTGTGGAGAAAAGAAGACTTAGAAGAGTCTGGCAGCTGAGCAGACATTCGTATGATAGAAGACTCTATGAAAAAGCAGCTAAAGAACTGAGGGAAATGATAACAGAGAATGAGAACTATACATTTGAACAGAAACTGTCATCTTTATCTGCTAAAAGGTGTGATGATTACTCTTTATGGAAATTCACAAAGCAGTTCAAGAGACCACAACAATCAGTACCACCATTGAGAGCTCAGTCGGGAGCTTGGGCCAAAACTCCTAAAGAGAAAGCCGAGATCTTTGCTCAACATTTAAGTCAAGTGTTTGTACCAAACTCTTCAACAAGGAGTGATTTCGAAAAGGAGGTAAATGAATATCTCGAGAGCGATCAGCAGCTATCACCACCTATAAAACTTATAACACCAAGAGAACTACAAAGAGCAATAAGAATGTTGAGCAACAAAAAGGCTCCAGGATTTGACTTAATCACTGGTGAAATCCTTAAACATCTACCCAGAAAACCAGTCGTCTTCCTGACTATGCTGTTCAATGCCATAATGAGAATACAATACTTTCCTAGATTGTGGGGCGTCTCTCAAATATGCATGTTGCTGAAACCTGGAAAGGTGCCCACAGATCCGAGCTCATATAGGCCAATTAGTCTTTTGCCAGTACTATCAAAGTTATTTGAGAAAATATTCTTGCAAAGACTTAAACCAATATTAGAAGAAGAAGCCATAATACCAGATCACCAATTTGGGTTCAGGGAGCGACATAGCACAGTGGAACAAGTACATCGTATAGTGAACAAGATAAGACAATCACTGGAGCAGAAAGAATACTGTGCTGCGGTGTTCCTGGACATCCAGCAGGCATTCGATAGGGTTTGGCACAAAGGTCTTTTGTATAAGCTAAAAAGTTTTCTACCTAATTCATATTATATGGTGCTTAAGTCCTACCTACAAGACAGAAAGTTCCAAGTTAAATTTGGCGAAGAAGTATCCGTTCTGTATGATATTGGGGCGTCTGTGCCACAGGGATCTGTGCTCGGTCCTGTGCTATATTCTATATACACAGCGGACCTACCATGCAATACAGATGTAGTAACAGCGACATATGCAGATGACACCGCATGTCTTGCAAGTCATAAAGATCCGGCTTTGGCATCAGAAAAACTACAAAATCACCTGTATGAAATTGACGAATGGCTGGAAAAGTGGAGAATAAAGCCAAATGTTACTAAATCTCTACAAATAACGTTCACACTCCGCAAAGGAGACTGCCCAGCTGTAACGTTACGGGGGCAACAACTGCCTACAGAAAATTGTGTAAGATACCTGGGACTCCATCTAGACCGGAGGTTAACCTGGGCAACCCATATAAAAACAAAGAGAAAAGAAGCAGATTTACAATTTAAGAAGTTCTACTGGCTGATTGGGAGACAATCATCCCTCAGTTTAAACAACAAAATGCTGGTCTATAAATGCATAATAAAGCCTATATGGACTTATGGGATTCAACTCTGGGGATCTGCCAGTAATTCCAACCTTGAAATCCTCCAAAGGTTTCAGAATAAAACACTGAGGGCAATCTCAAATTCACCATGGTTCGCTAGAAATGTAGAGATACACGAGTACTTGGAGATGCCGACAGTCAGGGAGGAGGTGAGCAAATACTGTACCAAATATAAGGAAAGGCTAAAACATCACACAAACCAACTTGCTAGAGAAATTGTGGAACAAACCCACAAGACCACCACAAGACTGAAAAGATGGCAAATATTACAGTTGGACCAAAGATGCTAGTGGCTTGGACTGAATATTGGAAGGCTGGACTAGATTGCTACGTGAATTAGTAAAAACCGAGGGAGAGAATTTACTGGAATACCCCTCCTCATGAACACAAACAAAAAAGCAAGACAAAACATCTGATTATGACCTAAGTCGATTGCAGATATAAAAAGGGGAAAAAAAAAAAAAAAAAAAGTTTACTAAGATATCTGCACGCCAAATTTCAAGCGTCTAACTTAAGCGGTTTAGATTTTTCCTATTTATAATTCCTAAGTATAGGTACTATAACCTGCCCAAGAGTCCAAGAGTACCAAGAATAATTGTACCAAGTTTCGTTAAAATCCGTCGAGTAGTTTTTGTTTCTATAAGGGACATACAGACAGACAAATATTTTACCGATTGCATTTTTGGCATCATTACCGATCACTAATCACCCCCTGATAGTTATTTTGAAAATATATTTCATGTACAGAATTGAACTCTCTACAGATTTATTATAAGCTTAGATTAATAAAGCCTAGATAGAAAAGTGAGGCAACTTTTAGTGAGCCGGAACGGCTTACTCGTAAACGTCACATGAACTGTCAATTAAAGTGAAAAATTGGGAAACGCGTCCGACGAATTTTAATTAATAATTATGACGGTTTGTGCTGTGACAGAGTGTCAAATTTTATCAGAAAAACTAAAGAAAGTGACCAGCGTTACATTTCATAATAAGTACTACAGTTCGATGCGTATTTTGCTTGAAGTAACAAGAAAATAAATTTCCCAATTGTTCGCCGTACGAAATCGAGACTTTTAAGTCGATTTATCCTATTATAATCAATAAAGAAAGTAACTGATGCGTTTTATTTTTAATAATAAAAAAAAATATTAAAATATACAAAAATTTCCCTACTACTACTTGTAAATTACCTACCTTCACTGTCCACACTCCCCAACAAAATTGACACTAATGACATAAGTTTTGCCTCACTTTTGACGAAGCTTTTTTATGAAAACTATCCATCAGCCCCCCTAGACAAAACGCACTTTTTGATCGAATCGAAAATCGAATCCGTCAAATTCCATACAAAAAAGGGGCTTTTCGACCACTTTTCGACTGGTTTGCGATTATAATGGCACTTTGTCTAGACCCACTGGGCATCATTAATCTGAGATTATAAGTATAGATTAGTTGTACTTAGGCCAGTTTTTCGAATTTTGATTTTTTGAAAAATAATGGTGATAGTTAAACTTGTCTAATGCAGTTATATTTAAAGATCATTTAATTAACTACATAATTCATTCATGATATTGTGTATAATTTAAAAAATTTGGGCATACTAGCTGCTAGAAAAAAAAAAGGGGAAACTGTCCTAGGTACAACAAACCAGATGTATCTACCTACCTTGGACCGTGTACGTTGTACCTATTTAAATTTAAATAAATGCTTATATTCGCTTCAATTTGTTAATTTTCTGTTAAATTATTATTTGAAATACCAATTATTACAGTTATTAGCAACAATATCTAAGTAAAAGTATTTTTAAAAAAAGATCTTCATCCATATTTTTTGTACTAATTATTTTTCACATTTTTTTGGCAACAAATCACTTAAGTTTAAGCCGGCTCTCCAGTCCATGTTTAGCCTTACACAACCAACAAAAATATGACAATAATTAACATTTTTTCTAGAAAATTTTGTTGAATGTTGATATGTTATGTCGTGTAGGACAAAATACGCGCTGGAGTGGCTTTAACTTGCAATCTAGTTTTTTTATTTCTTATCATTTAACATAAATTCTAGCAAAATGAAAAATGAAAAAAAAAAATGAAAAAAATATATATTTAATTATATTATAAGTATAAGGTAAGTATCTATGCCTGCTTTGTTGGTTGTCCTTAAAATGAATAAATAAAGTTTTAATCTCACTTTTGTTCTGAATGAAGTACTCCCAGTACTGTTTGAAGTCGCCGGTGTAGCCCATGAAATGGAAGAGTTTGTGGTGGTGGTAGTAGGACACCACGGCGTCGCGAGGGTCGCGCGCCACGTACACCACCTTGGCGGTGTCCAGCAGCTTCGGCGGCAGTAGTGAAAAGGGCATGTGTGTCTTAATGAACCGAGGCGAAGGCAACTTCGCCGCATTCTCGGTGCCAGGAGTAGTCACTTTCTCTATAATTTTTAACAGCCGCTCGTCTCCTTTCACGAAGTCTTTCATATAGTTCTTCGTTATATCGCTATTTATTACCATAAACATACTGAAGAGAAAACATCCGATTACATTACATAGGTCAGACCTGGTCAGACATTATAATCAATATTACAGTTTCCCTATTAATAAATTACTTACTCTAGAAATAGGAACCGTTCATGAAGCGGTATGGAATCAGATTTTTCGTAGTCTAAATTGTTTGCCACCATCCAAACAAGTTCCTGCGTCCAAGTCGTTCCTAATATAAACATAATAAAATTTCAATTTAATTTGAAACGAGCATGTAATGAATGTCTGCATTGTAGAATTTGTTGTATTCAATTTTAAATATAATTTAGCATAAAAATGAGTAATATTTTGAAAGCTTATTTTTTTAATGAAATCATTAAAAAACTAACGGCAAAGGGTGTGTAAACTGTAAAGGCAGATAAATAGTAACCTGATTTAGGGAACGTGACCACAAAAGTATCGTCAGGTCGTATTGGCATGTTATATGTATTTTTAATATCTACTTTAATGCCGTTGGTGAAAAAATATCCCTTTGGGCCGACTCGCAAAAATCCATTTTGATACCCTGAAATTGAAAACCGGGAATGCAGTGATCATGAAATAAAGAAATAATCCATAACTAAAACATCTTTATCTACACATGTACGATAAGTACTAGGTAACTTTTAAGCCAGCCATGTATTATACAACATTTGTTGATAAACACTGTTAATAAACTGTTCATAAACATAATGTTTCATCATCTCTGTTTTTAAACAGTCTGTGGCGACGCCACTACAAACTAGTGATCAACAGATGGCGCTGCTACTACTTCACTATGGCACACTCCGCCGCTCATACAAACCTGCATCGCGGTGACGTAGTTTTCTACCCTGCCAAGTATAGACAAACCAAGATGGTGTAAATTGGACTTTGGTCCCCGAGCACATCACCCGCTCGGAAGGAAGCACTAACACCTATTAGCTTCCTTCAAATCAAATCAAATCAAATTTCTTTATTTGCGTAATTCCAGGTACATAAGTAAAGTAAAGTAAGTAAGTGTCCTTATTGTGGTTGAGCATCATATCCCACATTGGTTGGTGACCCCGACGTGATGTGAGATGCAACCTCTCCATCACCACCATCTTCAGCATCAGCCTCCGCCATCCCTCATCTCTCCGCCACTCCGTTATCAGCTCGTCTTCAACAAGCCAGCGTCCAGCCTTCAGAGACCATCGCAGATCGCAACCGACCTTCCTGGTTCCTCGGCAGCAAGCAACCGTCACTTCACTGGTCACGGGTACAGCTGTGGCCCAGCTTCACGCCCGACCATCGAAGACGCCCCGCTCACTATCCCGACTCACCGTGGATAGAGCACCGCAACCTGCTCGTCTCGACTCACCGCAGACTTGAGCACACTGGCACTTGTAAGCTCATCACGCACAGACTGCTGAGCTCATCCTGACGTCATCCACCTCCGGTTCTTCCGGGGGGAGTGGTGTGGCGACGCCACTACAAAACTAGTGACCAACAGATGGCGCTGTTACTACTTCACTATGGCACACTCCGCCGCTCATACAAACNTACACGAATGTAAAGTTGCCGTGCATGGCGATATAACTGGGTTTTTATTTAATTACGAAAAAACTACATGCTATATTTCCCAAACTGGCACACTGCCTAATTATATCTAACATTACCTTTCACCTAAAAAATATTTCACCAAGTTATCTCTAATAGCGACGAAGCAGGATTTTTTTTAACTTCAAATGCGATTTCCCAAAAATCACCATTTTCGACTTAACTCCGTTTTCACTGGGGGTACAGAAGTAACCGTCGACGGTGTTAACATGACATAACCATGTTCTGCAGCTATTTATTATCAGGGAAACAGCACGTAGAACATTCGCAGTAAATAACATTCTTGTAGCAGAAGTTAGATGAAAGTTTATGGCAAAGACTAGGTATATTATCTATTTTTAAACTATAAATTCTTAAACCAATTAATTCTTGCTACCAATCGAACAACGTGGAAAGCATTAGGGGAGGCCTATGTTCAGCAGTGGACGTCCTATGGCTGAAATGATGATGAAATTCTTAAAATTTTGACTTCAGTGAATTATATTACGCACCGTCTTTTTAGAAATGTCATAACAATCTGAGTCTACGTAATTAACTTTTTCTGGATAGTAACTTTGAGTAGCTTACAGGGAAACATTTATAACTTATTATTTATATATTTTCAGTCAAATTAATTTAAATACAGTAATCTCACCATAGTTTCCCCTCTCAAATACCTATAGGTAACTCCAATAGAATTCGTCTGTCGGGGGGCTTAATAGCTTTACTGTCATCCACGAGTACGAAACGTTATTATAGTTCCACCATTAAAAATAACATTAGAGTGAAGTAAACAACCATTCCGTTAACTGGTATAAAGCTGTATTTCCACCACATAAGTGGTAAGTTGCGTAGCGAGGGATGTGTCTCGACAATCGACATTATTTGCTCTATCTACAGCTTATTTTAAAGATAGCAAAGGCATAGAACTGCTATGCACAACAGTTTCTTAAATTCTTAAATTTTTCAGCTGAAGAAAATAGGTTAGGTAGGTACTCACAAAAAAGAAAATGAATCAAGTTTCTTAGAAGCCAAGGATTTGTGATAAGATTGAGCTCTAATATAGACGTAAGATGCGTGTTGAGCATGACTGTGATATTATTATGTGCGTTCTTGACTACATTTTGGAAAAAAACTGAAAACCTAACCGAGTTCTGTCAGTTATGAATTAAAGGCTGCTATGTACCTACATCTTCTTAAAAATATAGTTTTGCAGTCCTAATCTAGCCTTACTTTATACTTAGATTCTTCGTACTCGTAAACCTTTAGTGTAAACGCAGCCTAACTTATCTAAGTGTGTGCTGGAGTTATTTATGTCCGAGGACAAACAACTGGAGGCACGTTCGTACTTTAGCAGTAAACAACCATTTAGATATTGTCGATAAGTTCCACTTTTCGAGACGATACATAAAGGTGAGTGCGTATCAGTTTTCTAGTAAATATACTGAAAGTTTACTTATGTTATTTACACACAGAAAACGTATTCGCATTTTCAATTACCTAATTTACCCTTATGTAAGTATTATTAGTGTAGACAGGCCTCCCACTCTATGGAATAGATAAAGTGACGGAAAATACCTGGTTGTTGTTGATAATGTATTAGGTTTTTAGTTGAAATAGAAAACATGAAATCGACATCGTCGACGTCATATTTGAAATGGAACCTATTTTAAATTGAATTTCATATTGGTGTTTTTTAATATCAGCTCCAATCGTTGATTTTATCGTCGCACTTGCTACTAGACCACGCTACGTCTTCCGGCTCGTGGTCGCCACTCGAGAACTTTCCTGCCCCAGAACATAAATACTTATTGCTTTAAAACATACATCTTTACCTAGCAATCTATCAATTCCTAAATGAACCATCATCCCATCCCAAAGTAACTTTATCAAACAGTGGCATTTTCGATGAATGGCATACTCCACGCTTAGGCATGAATCATTCGGTTTTATTTACGTACAAATTGACATCTTAAGGTACGAGTACATTGTTCTGCACCCACGCGCGAGGGAAAATTGGCCACGTTTTGTCAGCCGATACCTTGCAAGGGTTACCATAAATAAACTATTTCAAGGATACTTCTTATTAAACGATTTTTTCCTATGATTTTACTTGCGTTCCGTGTAGGAATAGAGAAAGAGATTATCTAGGGCTCACATTAAAATTTCTGTCGATGAAATTAAACATTTTGAAAATCAGTTCAGGTTATTGAGAAAACTCCTCAAAAATGACAAGTAACACACAAAAGTGTACATAATAATTATGACTTTATAATTTAGGTAAGATTATAATAATATTTAAAATTACCCTCTTTTGTGAAGCCGTTACATACACTAATCTATTGGTAGTCATAGTCATAGTGATATATGTTTGTACATTGGTATTACCTGGTAGTAACCGACTATAAAAAAATTATTCTCAATGAATAAATAAAAGGCAATACAGATTCTTCTGCGTTCTAAATTTTATACACGAGTCTGCGCTTCCGCGTGGTGTCGTTTTTCACACGAATCGGGCGTTACCTACCTTCTAAAATTGTCCTGTTTTTCCTGTTTTTGACATCCGATATGGTAACCTTACTTTCAAGGCGCTTTGCGAATTGAATACGCGGCCTGGAATCGGAAAGATAATTTTAATGTCAGAAGACAGGTTGATAACGGCGGAAAATCACATGTTAATAATAAATTATGCGCGTGTTCCTTTTATTTCTTATGGTTTTGTGAAACTCCGATCGATTCTGCTGCTAATGTGAGTTAAAGAAAAAGTTCATTATAATCAAGGTTCATACCTACTGTTCCATAAATGTTCAAAAACTATTCTAGTTAGTTCAAAGAGATCATTATGTATCCCTTCTCTAAAACGTGTTACGCAACCAACTTGGAATAATAACTGGTTCAAACGGCCTTTCGTCGGCCCATTAAAATATCCAACGTAACGAAAGAGGATCCCGTGACGTCATGCGGCGCTACGATTACCCACACACCTGCACAAAGCGAATACTACTAGAATTTTATGAGATTCTTACGCACAGTTATTTTACACTTTCAAAAGTACTCGTATGTCAGCTCATAAAAAGATCATAGTGTGTCACTTCTCTAAAACGTATTATGCAACCGACATTGAAATATTAACTGTTTAACTAACAACCGTTCTTCTAAATCCATCTAGGTTGTCTAGAAGAGATTACTTTATAGCTATAAGACCCGCCTGAATTGTGCCGTATATTTTGTATATTTCTTTCTTTTTCTTTTCTTGTCTCTGTCTGTTCAACTATCCGAACACCTTTCGTCGAGCCATTAAAATATCTGTCGTAACGAAAGAGTATCCTCGTGACGTCAGACGGCGCTACGATTACTCACGCGCTTGGACGCAGCCCAAACCAGGGCGGAGCGTAGTGTTGCAGACCTCGCTATACACATTAGCCAAAATGACACTTTCGCAGAATGTGTCTAATGACACTTTCATAAAGTGTGTCTAAAGACATTTTCATAAAATGTGTCTAGTTTACAAATTCATAGAATTATCCGGTAACTAACACAACTAGCTAACACATCAGCAATAGCCGTTATGTTAACCTGACGTGGTAGGTCAAGCTACGTACTCGTATTTTTTAGGTTTTTACGGTTTATGTAATTTAACCAATGTTAAGTCTGAATATCACCTTTAACTTACTATCTATCCCTCCATAACAAGATTAGGTCTACTTGTATTGTCTAGCATTCTAAATTTTCCTAAATTTTCAGAACCTATTTCAGTAGACTCTGCATGTCTTAAATTCCGTACAAAAATATACATTTTATGAGACATGAATAATGTCTGACACTCGTGCTGATTCGTTGTCACATTATTAAAAGTAAAGCGGCACATTTTTCAAACCAATAAAATGTAGAGTTAGGATAATAAATATTATTTAAACATTTACTGCGTAACATAGGGAGTGTGTTGATTTTTTTTTTAGGAGAAAA